GATAACAGAATTTTCTTCAAATTGACGGTAAAGAGAAGTACAGATCATTAAAGGAATACTTCAGAGAGACAGTTTTTCACCTACGCCGCTTGGTTTATATATGGCACATTTAGATAATTTTTTGAGAGGGGTAAGAGCTAGATAGTAGTGGGGCTATTGAGAGTAAAATAAACCATTTTCTGTTTATAGACGATCGCATTGTTTGGGAAGTTATGAGAGTGTTTTTTTTTTTTTTTTTTTTTTTTTTTTTTTTTTTACAAATTGTTTACACTAAGCTGTAATGTTTAGTTGTTAGAAGAGTGGAGCTTTGATGATGAGAAGGGCTGAAGCCGTGACTATGGAATGGCACTTCCATCTGGACACGTTATGAAAACTAATAATAAGATCACTTTTACGTATTCAAACATGCTAGAGGTGAGTGGTAGTTACAAGACATATGAAAAAGCAATAATTTATGCTTTATATTGTTAACAATGTAACGTGCTACCTCGTGTCTGTTGATATCTTGTACGCATGTAACTCCTTGGCAGGTTCCTTGGCCGACTTGGCAGGTTGCTTGGCGGCTTGCAGGTTCCTTGGCCGACTTGGCAGGTTCCTTTGACGACTTGGCAGGTTCCTTGGCAGGTTCTTGCTTGGCAGTTCCTTGCCCTTGGTTGCTTGGCTTGGCAGGTTCCTTGGCTCGCTTGGCAGGTTGCTTGGCCGGCTTGGCAGGTTCCTTGGCCGACTTGCAGGTGCTTGGCCGACTTGGCAGGTTGCTCTTGGCGTTCCTTGGCCGACTTAGGTTGCTGGCAGGTTCTTGGCGCTTGGCAGGTTCCTTCCTTGGCAGGTTCCTTGGCCGACTTGGCAGGTTTGCTTTGGCAGGTTCCTTGGCCGACTTGGCAGGTTCCTTGGCCGACTTGGCAGGTTGCTTGGCCGGCTTGGCAGGTTTTCCTTGGCAGGTTGCTTGGCCGGCTTGCCAGGTTCCTTGACTTGGCAGCCTTGGGCAGGTTGCTTGGCGACTTGGCAGGTTCCTTGGCCGATTTGGCAGGTTCCTTGGCCGACTTGGCAGCGTTCTTGGTTGGCAGGCTTGGCCGACTGGCAGGTTCCTTGGCCGATTTGTTGCTTGCGCAGTTCCTTGGCGGCTTGGATTGCTTGGCAGGTTGCTTGCCACCTTGCAGGTTGCTTGGCCGACTTGGCAGGCTCCTTGGCCGACTTGGGCTCCTTGGGCAGTTGCCGACTTGGCAGGTTCCTTGGCCGACTTGGCAGGTTCCTTGGCCGGCTTGGCAGTTTCCTTGGCCGGCTTGGCAGGTTCCTTGGCCGACTTGGCAGCTTCCTTGGCCGACTTGCAGGTTGCTTGGCCGGCTTGGCAGGTTTCCTTGGCCGACTTGGCATGTTCCTTGGCCGGCTTGGCATTTCCTTTGGCTTGCAGGCTACTTGGCAGCTCCTTGGCCGACTTGGCAGGTTTGCTTGGCCGGCTTGGCAGGTTCCTTGGCCCACTTGGCAGTTCCTTGGTCGGCTTAGCAGGTAGCTTGGCCGTCTTGCAGGTTCTTGGCGACTTGGCGGTTTGCTTGGCCGGCTTGGCAGGCTCCTTGGCCGACTTGCAGGGTTGCTTGGCGGCTTGGCAGGTTCCTTGGCCGACTTGGCAGGTTGCTTGGCCGGCTTGGCAGGTTCCTTGGCCGACTTGGCAGGTTCCTTGGTCGGCTTAGCAGGTTGCTTGGCCGTCTTGGCAGGTTCCTTGGCCGGCTTGGCAGGTTTCCTGGCCGGTTTGGCAGTTTTCCTTGTTTCCTTGGCCGGCTTGGCAGTTTCCTTGGCCGGTTTGGGCAGGTTGCTTGGCCGCTTGCCAAGTTCCTTGGCCGACTTGGCAGGTTCCTTGGCCGACTTGGCAGGTTCCTTGGTCGGCTTGACAGGTTCCTTGGCCGACTTGGCAGGTTCCTTGGCCGGCTTGGCAGTTTCCTTGCTGCTTGGCAGTCCTTGGCCGACTTGCAGGTTCTTGCCGGCTTGGCAAGGTTCCTTGCTTGCACTGGCCGAGGTTCCTTCTGCAGGTTCTTTTGGCAGGCCTTGGCAGCTTCGGCGCAGGTTCCTTGCCGGCTTGGCAGGTTCCTTGGGCCGGCTTGGCAGGTTGGCCCTTGGCAGTTTCGGCTTGGCAGGTTTCTTTGCCGACTTGGCAGGTTCCTTGGCCGGCTTGGCAGGTTCCTTGGCCTTGGGTTTACTTGGCGACTTGGCTAGGTTCCTTGGTCCTTGGCAAAGGGTTCCTTGGCCGGCTTGGCAGTTTCCTTGGCCGCCTTGGCCGACTTGGCAGGTTGCTTGGCAGGTTCCTTGGCCGGCTTGGCAGGTTGCTTGGCCGGCTTGGCAGGTTCCTTGCTACTTGGCAGGTTTTCTCGGCCCGGCTTGGCAGGTTTCTTGGACGACTTGGCAGGTTCCCTTCCTTGGCCGACTTGGCAGGTTGCCTGGCCGACTTGGCAGGTTACTTGGCCGAACTTGGCAGGTTCCTTGGCCGGCTTGGCAGGTTCCTTGGCCGACTTGGCAGGTTCCTTGGCCGACTTGGCAGGTTCCTTGGCCGGCTTGGCAGGCTCCTTGGCCGACTTGGCAGGTTCCTTGGCCGACTTGGCAGGTTCCTTGGCCGACTTGGCAGGTTCCAGGCCTTGGCAGGTTCCTGGCCGACTGGCAGTTGCTTGGCCGGCTCCTTGGCCGCTTGGCAGGTTCCTTGGCCGGCTTGGCAGTTTCCTTGTTTCCTTGGCCGGCTTGGCAGTTTCCTTGGCCGACTTGGCAGGTTCCTTGGCCGGTTTGGCAGGTTGCTTGGCTTGGCGGCTTGGCAGGTTCCTTGGCCAACTTTGGCAGTTGCTTGGCCGACTTGGCAGGTTGCTTGGCCGGCTTGGCAGTTTCCTTGGTCGACTTGGCCAGGTTCTTTGCCGACTTGGCAGTTCCTTGCATTGGCATTTCCTTGGCAGGTTGCTTGGACTGGCATGTTGGCAGGTTGCTTGGCCCCAGGGCTTGGCCCAGGTTGCTTGGCCGGCTTGGCAGGTTCCTTGGCCGACTTTGGCAGGTTCCTTGGCGGCTTGGCAGGTTCCTTGGCCGGCTTGGCAGGTTCCTTGGCCGGCTTGGCAGGTTCCTGGCCGCTTGCAGGTTCCTTGGCCGGCTTGGCAGTTTCCTTGGCCGACTTGGCAGGTTGCTTGGCCGGCTTGGCAGGCTCCTTGGCCGACTTGGCAGGTTCCTTGGCCGACTTGGCAGGTTCCTTGGCGACTTGGCAGGTTCCTTGGCCTTGGCGGCTTGGCAGGTTCCTTGGCCGACTTGCAGGTCCTTGGCCGGCCTTGGCAGGTTTCTTGGCCGACTTGGCAGGTTCCTTGGCCGGCCTTGGCCAGGTTCCTTGGCCGACTTGGCAGGTTGCTTGGCCGGCTTGGCAGGTTCCTTTGGCCGGCTTGGCAAGGTTCCTTGGCCGCTTGGCAAGGTTCCTTGGGCAGGCTTGGCAGGTTCCTTGGCCGGCTTGGCAGGTTCCTTGGCCGGCTTGGCAGGTTCCTTGGCCGGCTTGGCAGCTTCCTTGGCCGACTTGGCAGGTTGGCTTGGCCGGCTTGGGCAGGTTCCTTGGCCGACTTGGCGGTTCCTTTACCGGCTGTGGCAGTTTCCTTGGCCGACTTGCAGGTTCCGTTTCCTTGGCCGGCTTGGCAGTTTCTTTGCCGGTGGCAAGGTTCCTTGGCCGCCTTTGGCAGTTTCCTTTGGCCGGCTTGGCAGTTTCCTTTGGCCGACTTGGCACTGTTCCCTTGGCCGGCTTGGTAGATTCCTTGGCCGACTTGGCATGTTTCCTTGGCCGACTTGCAGTTTCCCTTGGCCGACTTGGCATGTTCCTTGGCCGACTTGGCATGTTCCTTGACCGACTTGGCAGGTTCCTTGTTCCGACTTGGCCGCTTGGACCGCTTGGATGCTTCCTTGGGCCGGCTTGGCAGTTTCTTGCCGGCTTGGCAGGTTCCTTGGCCGACTTGGCAGATGCTTGGCCGGCTTGGCAGGGCTTGGCCGGCCTTGGCAGGTTCTTCAGTTTCCCCGGCTTGGCAGGTTGGCAATTTCTTGGCCGGCTTGGTAGGTTCCTTGGCCGGTTTTGGCAGGCTTGCTTGGCCGACTTGGCAGGTTCCTTGGCCGGCTTGGCAGGTTCCTTGGGCGGCTTGGCAGTTTCCTTGGCCGACTTGGCAGGTTCCTTGGCCGACTTGGTAGGTTGCTTGGCCCGGCCTTGGCAGGTTTCTTGGAAGAGTTTCCTTGGTCCGGCTTGGCAGTTCCTTGGCCGGCTTGGCAGGTTCCTTGGCCGGTTTGGCAGGTTGCTTGGCCGACTTGGCAGTTTCCTTGGCCGGCTTGGCAGGTTCCTTGGCCGACTTGGTAAGATGCTTGGCCGGCTTGGCAGTTGCTTGGCCGGCTTGGCAGGTTTCTTGGGCAGTTTCCTTGGTCTTGGCAGGTTCCTTGGCCGGCTTGGCAGGTTTCTTGGCCGGCTTGGCAGGTTCCTTGGCCGGTTTGGCAGGTTGCTTGGCCGACTTGGCAGGTTCCTTGGCCGGCTTGGCAGGTTCCTTGGCCGGCTTGGCAGTTTCCTTGGCCGACTTGGCAGGTTCCTTGGCCGACTTGTAGATGCTTGGTAGATGCTTGGCGGCTTGGCAGGTTTCTTGGCAGTTTCCTTGTCGGCTTGGCAGGTTTCTTGCCGCTTGGCAGGTCCTTGGGCCGGTTTGGCAGGTTGCCTTGGCCGACTTGGCAGTTTTCCTTGGCCGGCTTGGCAGGTTCCTTGTGCAGGTTGCTTGGCCGACTTTGGCAGGTTGCTTGGCCGGCTTGACAGGTTCCTTGGCCGACTTGCAGTTTCCTTGGCCAACTTGCAGGTTGCTTGGCCGACTTAGCAGGTTCCTTGGTCGTTTGACAGTTTTCCCTGGCCTGTTGCTTGGCAGGTTGGCAGGTTCCTTGGCCGACTTGGGTTTCCTTACGACTTGGCAGGTTCGTGTGGACTTGGCAGGTTCCCTTGGCCTACTTGGCAGGTTCCTTGGCCGACTTGGCAGCATTCCTTGCCGACTCGGGCACGCAAGAGCAATAAAAGTACCTTCCTTATTGTAGTATGTTATTAGACTTCCAATGAACCTATCGGATTACAGCTCCAAGCTTAAAGGAATTACCATGGAACACAGAGCTGGCACTTCGAACGAATTATGTAAAATACAACAGTGAAATGACAGACTTCTCGTGTGTGGTGAGAGAGAGAGAGAGAGAGAGAGAGAGAGAATATATATATAATATATATATAATATATATATATATATATATATATATATATATATGTCAGCTGAATGGCTCAAAAGGCAAGTGGTAGTAAGACAACACCACGTGCATTGTACGCTGGAAGTTATATGAAAAATACAACTTGGAGAGAAAAGAATATAACGTATTGTGGGGTTTGAATATTCAGTGCGACCACGTAATCCAGGCAAAACGTCGACCAGGCATTGCTGTAGTTGAGAAGGTGACTTGTTCACAGAGGAATAACAAAAAACGACGTTATATATGATAATGATAATACAAAGTATATTACTAATAGTATCACTCAAAGTGTGGATAATAGAACCAATCATACTAATATCAACCATAAGAGTACTGATAATAATATAGGCTACAATATTAATGGTATAACCAGTAATGCTGATAATGATAATTACAATGGCAATGGTAATACCAATGACAATGATTATGAGAATAATAATAATAATAAATTATAATTATGATAATAACAATAGGCAGAATATGATATGTATAATAATAATAATGAAACTAATGATCGAAATGATATTTAAGATAAGAATAACAATAGTTATTTGATAAATATACATAATGATAAGGACACTAAAATAGTTATAATAATGCTTATGTTGATAATGAAATCCCAATAATAATAATGAAAGTTTCAATTTTGACAAAGGTATTATGTTTATGATTATGATAACGATACTGAGGATGATTGCAATGACAATGTGATGATGATGATATAGATAATGATAATAATAGCAATAACAGTGGTGGTGGTGGTGATGATGATGAACATAAGTATGATTATGACAAAGATAACCATAATTATAATTATATCAATGACATTGATAATGATGATGATGGGAATGATGATAATGATCATATTAATAATGATGGTGATAATGATACTAACTAATAATGAAAACAATAATGATTGATAATAAAAACAATGATGATGACGATGATAACAACAACAACAATAATAAGTTATGATTATTTTTTTCATTATCATTGATATTGTTATTATCATCATCGTTATTGTGAAAAAATAACTATTATAGTAATAATAACAGTAACAATAAAAGTAATAGTAATTAAAACGATAAAGATAACAACGATGATAATAATAAGGATAATAATAATAATGCTAATGATAATAACAATTTCATTAATAATAACAATGATGATAATAATAGAAATAATAATAATATTGATAATTATGACAATATAACAATAATCACTAGCATTAGCAACAGTATTCAGGTTCTTAATACTGTTGATATGAATAACAATAATAATAAGATTATTATTATCATTATTATTACTACTGCTATTATTATTACTCTCATCATTATTGTTAACATTGTGATCATTATTATAATTGCCACTATTTTTATCCTTAACATTAATATGATCATTATTGTTATTTTTGATATTACGATTATCGTTACACATTACTATTGTTATTATCATTATTGTTCTTTTTTGTTATTATTATTATTGCTATTGTTGTCATTATCATCAGTATCATTATTGTTATCATCATTATTATTATTACTTTTATTATCATTATCGTGATTACTATAATGAGCTAATTCCAGTGCAAGACTCAGTGCAGCCTAAATCGTTATCATTATCATCATTATCATGATTACCATTATTGCTATTATTTTGATCATTATCATCATCATTATCATAATTACTTTAATGGGTCTAATGCTAGTAATGTCAAATGCCTGGTAACTGGCAAAACTATGCAATTATCTTTTACTTAAATTTACTAAACATTTAACTGCTCCCCATAAGAAGGAAAGGTAAGAGAAGCATATGGGAACAGTGAATGCAAGAGAGAATAAAACAGGGTTATAAAATGTGAAGTAAGAGGCAAGATACACAGTTAAACACCGCGTGATCAGGTCAAAGGTCAAAACACAGATCGATAGACAGATGATGAGAATCAAAGGAAGATTTTTTTTTTTTTTTTTTTTTTTTTTTTTTGCAGTGAGGCAAAAGGTCAAGTGACCCATTAAGTAACACAGGTCGAGTTAATGATTTTTATTTTTCAACAAACTAATAAATTAATCTAGTCTAAAGGCTGCAGTATCTTATCATGGATTTGGATTTCAGATTGTTTCATTTCATTTAGATTATGATTCACATTTTTAAAATATATTACGAACGTTTACTTCCGTTAATGTTAATAATACTTTTTCTCTCAATTCAAATAGCTGGAAAAAACATTACCTGTTGCGAAATAAGGGACACGCAATCATATAACATATAATGCCTGACATGTATAATAAAAATAAAAGGATCATATCATAATCCTTATCTTCACAGTCATTTTCATTATCATTATCATCATAATTATCATCATAATTATCATCATCATAATCTTCATTATCATCGCCATCATTATATTCATCATCATAATAATGATTGTCATCGTGATCATGATCATCGTTGTCATGATGATGATGATCATCATCATCATAATCATCATTGTCATCATCATTATCAGCATCATCATTATTATCATCAGAATCATCAACAACTCCATCATCAACATCATCACCATTATCCTCAACATCATCATCACCATCATCATCCGCATCCTCATTATTATTATCATCATTATTATTATCATCTTTACCCCTAATCGTTTCCCACCTACCTGTTCCTCCTCCTCTGCTTCTTCGCCCTCCAGCTCCTTGTTCTTTTCTTTTCTTCCTCCCTTTCATCCTGCTAATTTCTTCCCTTTCTACCACTTCTTCTATCTCTACACATTTAATTTGTTCTCAAAATCCGTATTGGGACTTTCTACAAATATTAACTAGTTATCACCATCTATCAAACATTCTTCAAACCAAACATTTTGAAGACCATATTCTAAAACGGAAGAGAGCTTTCCCTTTCGTTCAGTCCGCTTAGACGTTCACTTACATATGGGTGTGATCGGAATTTATCCTCAATAAGGTACCTCGTAGACCCTCGGCTTACACGGCCCGAGTTCCCGTTGCACCAGACGCCACCAGCCGCTCAACGGGCAAGGGCTGGAATCGCCAGTCGCTCCCCTATCTCCTTACTGTATCCATGGCCCGGGCTGACTCACTCCCACGGGGCTGACGAGGGACCTAGGGCGAGAGAACGTAATATGGCAAGCGCCCGTATTATAGCGCCACTCTCAGTGCGCCCGACCCCAAGGCTAGCGTTAATAGGTCTTCGGAATGGCAACAGTGTCCCCGGGATTGCTTTATTTGTGTCACAGACTTGTGTTTGTTGTTCTGGCAAGGTTTTTTTTTTCTGTAGGAGGAAGGGTCTTTTTGACCCCTCTTCCTCTTCCTCTCTCTCTCTCTCTCTTCTCTCTCTCTCTCTCTCTCTCTCTCTCTCTCTCTCTCTCTCTCTCTCTCTCTCTCTCTCTCTCTCTCTCTCTCTTACAGGCGTATGATAAGGGTACCTTATTTCATAATATAGTTTGGTCTTCATGACAGTTCGTTTGTGGATAAGAATAACGGCTGAATTTTTTAAAAGAAAGAAAGAAAGAAGAAGAAGAAAAAATACATTTGCACTATTTCCATTGTCATTATTGTTTTCATTATTATTTTGAATAGCATTGCTGTTTTATCCCAATTTTTACCGCCAAAACCGATTTGATAAACAATAGAATTGTTTCCTTTCTAGTTCCAACCAAAACAAAAAACAAGTACAAAAAACAAAATCCAAAATTGTGTATATTCAGTGCTTCGTCCCGGAGACTGAAACAGCCAATCTGCACAGAGTCTGCTTGATCAAATATCCAGCCCTTCTCTTTTGAGGCAGCCGGGGAAAAGAGAATTACGGGAGAAGAAGAAGAAAAGAGGAGATGAGAAAGGAGAATGCGAGGAGTAGGATGAGAGAATGAGAAGAAAAAAACATAGAAGAGGAAAAGAGAAGAGGCCCAGAAACGGAGAACAAGAAAAAGAAGCGAATTCAAGAGAGATGATGGGGAGAGAAAACAAAGGAGGAAAGGGAGAGGAAGAGAAGGGGATTCCAAAGTGGGAGGAGGAGGAGAAGGCAAGGAGAGCCACGAGAGAGAGAGGAGCAGGACAGGGTGAGGATCGCGCCATGTGTGACTCGGAATCTCCAAGATGACTGCGCTCTCACTCCCGCCGGCCGCCAGTCTCGATATTGGCTGGGACGTTCGACCTCAAACGCCTCCTCCTTTACTCTTTTTCCTTTTCCCCCTTCTCCTCCTAATCATTTCCCCCCTTCTCTTCGCCCTACTCCTTTCTTTCCTTCCTTCTATCTCCTGCTCCGGTTCATCCTCACCTTCCGCTTTCTTCTTCCCCTCCTCCCCCTCCTCCTTCCTTCCCTTCCTTCTACCTCCTGCTCCGGTTCATCCTCACCTCCCTCTTTCTTCTTCCTCTCCTCCCCCTCCTCTTTCTCTAACGACTCCATCCTCGTCACCTTTTCTGTCGTTATTGTTGTTGTTCTCCTCCTCCTTCCTGGTTTCCTTTTCCTTCTTTTTCTCCTTCTCCTCCTTTTCACTCTTCTTTTTCTTCTCCTCCTCTTCCTCCTCCCCCTTCCCCTTTCGCTTCCCTTAGCGCCTCCCCTTCCCCTCTTCCTCCCCTTCTCCCTCCTTCCTTCCCTCTCCTCCTCTCCCCTCCTTCCCTCTTCCTCCTCCCCGTCATTCTCCTCCCCTTCCCTCTCCTCCCCCCTCCCGCTGTCGTGGCAGGCGGCTCAACGGGCATGTCACTTTGCTTTACTGCCTTCCCTGCCCGGTCGT